GTCACAGATATATGTTTTCTTTGGTAGCGTTTACAGATTTGAAAATTCAACCAATTCGGATTTCATTTGCATTTTATTTATTGAGTAATTTTTTTGAATAGTTCCTTTAGAAGACAATATAAACTACAATTATATATATATTATAATAATAAAAATTTATAGATGGTTTTTAAAGGCTTATTTTTTATTTATTCTCGATATGAATAATTGCTGTTTTTTTGGAAATAGCAATTACAGCACTGATTATAGGTTGACTAAATATTTCTGCAACTCATTCACACAGAGGGTTTTTCAATTGAGATAGAAGAAGTCTATGTATGAAAAAAATTTGTTGATCAAATGTGCTGGCCAAACAAAAAAAATTTAAATATGAGCATATCCTATTACTATAAACACCTAGGGCTCCATTGACTTTAAACACCAAAGGTAGAAAGATAGTATCCCATGCTTTGGCGAGATTTTTTGCATCGTAAACGTAGCTTAATTTTTTTTTAAATGATTGATTTATATTTTCTAATGTCTTATTTATAATAATAATTATTTATAATACTTAATATTAATTCATATTAATATATTAAATCTAATATAATTAAGTTCAGAATTTTCTTTTTAAACTGCAAATCATAAGTACTCAAATAAGAAGCTATCCTCAAAGAAAGTAAAAATAAGCATAAAATAATGATTTTACAATAAATAATATTTGTTAAAATTTTAATATGTTTAAAGTTCTAAGCATCGTACTAAGGGTTTTGTAAAATTATATGCGGATTAATAAACTAATAAGTTATTACTAAAAACCACTGATGATGGGTATTCGTCAATACTCGAAATAGCCACAAATTCAATTAATTATATAATAAATTTCGTTGTTGCAATTTAATGTACCTTGATTTTTAAAAATATTTTTCTTTTATTTTTAGTATACTATATATATAATAATTAGGTTTCTTTTTTTATAATTATTTGACTATGAATTTACGGCAATAACTCAATAACTGAAGATTGGCAATGTAGTCGTCTGCTGCGGATTTTTCTATTTATATTATAATTATTACTTATTATTTGTCTAATTTTAATAAAAAGATTTAATTTAACTAGAAAGTCAGTCAGTATGGCAACACTTAAAACTAACTAGCAAAATAAAAATTATTTTTATAAAAAAATTAATAATGCTCTGCAATTGTGTGATCCTTGAGGAGAGTCTCCTCAATTAAGGTAATTCTGACATTTATAGGCTATAAACGGTTCTTATAATAGATCGTGATACAAGATTCCAGTTATTCTATTCAATGAAAGAGATATTGAACTCATTTCCTAGAATTCTTATAGCATGAGTAACTAACACTGGCGGAAATTTCTGAGAATCGACAGGTGCTAATGATTTTTAGTCCCATATCTGAAAAATGGTAGTGAAAAAGATAAGGTCCAGTTAAGAAATCAGTGAATAATCTGAGTTTTGATTTATAAATGTTAAGAAACGTATTAACCGAATTGATAAGCCAAACTATATTCGATACTTCTTAGTACTAAGCAGATATTTAAAAGAGCTTGCTTTACTTGTTTAGGCTTGATTTTAAGTCACTATGATATAACCCTTTTAGAAATCAAATGTTTTATAACAGCTTCTTATGAGTTAACTATTAGTTTGAGGTTTATGCCCCAGGTTTTACCCAGGTAAACATAGACTATCATAAACTTTATATTAAAAATAGTGTGTAAGAAATAAATGAATATTTTTTAAATGAAATTACTACTATAGATACTTTAACTAATCTGAAAAATTAGTACTGGTTCAAGGATTATATCCTAGGTTTAATGATTAATGTATATGATTAATGTACTCATACAATCAAAATTTAAGTACTTAAATCTAATTCTAATAAATTATATATTTTAAGTTTAGTAATAAGAAAAATAAAAATTTCAAATGATAGTAATTTACATAAATTATATTATGTGCTGCAGATATTCTAAATTTCCATTCTCTTTCAAAAGGGCTTTGAGTACTAAATGGAGTGTCAATTGAAGTGCGACATTTATTCGTTATTTTATGAATAACACCAAATGTGCCTTAAGTCTTTATAAATCAGATTGCGTATTTCAAAAATCATTAATTATAATTTGTATAAAAATTTCAATAAAATCAATAAATGAAACACTAAAAACACGATTAATAAAAGAATTTCAAAGAATATACGTAAACGAGATAAATGGCTTCCTACTTTAGTCGGGCATAAACCCAAAAACCGGATGCAACTTCCTGAAATGCAATTCATTTAACAATTGGTAATTCAGATCGGCTTGTAACTAATAAAAAAAAAATATAAATATAAAAAAGAGTGAAAATGAAAATCTCATTGATAAATAAAAAAGTAACAAATAATTGTTGGAATACAAGAGCTCAGACAAACCCATAGACTAACAGGGAGACAGACACATATGTAGATTTATTTAATAAAGGTAGTGGAAGGTATAAAAAAGATGGTGTGACTGTAATTGAAAAAGAGAATCAGTGCCAAACGTCAACCATTTAACATGAGGCCAATAAATACCTCTAAAAGGCCAATAATAATTGAAACTTGACAAATGGGTTTTTCTTACCCTCTTCGCTTCCTTCCTGCTACCATACTTTTTTCACACTCTGCACATTGTATTAGGTGAAATGCATGAAGAGTAGAGAAGGACATAATACAATATCAATTGTTTAATTCCCTCCTGGCGGCTGTGTTTGTTCGTTTGCTTCCGCTTCCATACAATTTCAAATGTATCTGTTAGATACAGTAGAATATGAAATTTGTTTCAAATAAAATAAGTTGGTAATTTATTTCAAATACGACATCAATCGTATTCTAAAGTATATCCTTATGTATTTAGTGTTGCCCTGAGTATGCAGTAAGTACCACTGCAGATATTGTTTTCAATTTTTTTTTGCTGCAAATAGTTTTTTCTGAATGAAATAAAATTGTTGTAGTAATTTTGTATCTGATAGATTGTACACCTTTTGGTTTGTTTTATTCTTGTTCTTGCTGAGTTTTTGTATGTAAATGTAAGCATTTTTCGGAGTTTTTAAATGACTTTTGTATTCTTTTGTCAAATAATTTGTGGGCGATTTTTTTACATATCTTATGACACATTAAAGTACCGCATTTCATACACAACTTCCAATTTATTTATTTTTATTGGTAATCTTTTCAATTTTTTTTATATTATAATTAATAATTTTTATAAATATTAGAAATTTAATGTATATTTCATTTAAATATTATATGTGTTATTGCATATAATACAAATATATATTTGTATTATATGTATTAATCTTAAAAAAGTTCAAACATGTAATTAGAAGGGATCGAACAGTTATAAAGCAACAACAACCACAAATTTTAAATAATTTATTGAAATTTAGCTGACCATACAACGCTGTTTCGAGTATTGCCAAGTACTTATCATCAGTGATCTTAGAAAATTAATTTATAGTCCATATATAATTTGTTGGACTGCAATGTGTCAGCCTTAGAAATCATGTTATGCCACAATTAGCCAAGGCTGCACAAACTTTCAATGCTAAACTTCGAAAAACTGTACAATAAAACAGATGAAACTTAAGTATATGACTGTGAAATCTAACTCGAAGCAGATGAAATGAAAATCCTTGAGGGATGGCATAAATGTTACAAAAAGTTACAACAGAAGATGATATTAGTGTAGTATAAAAACATAAAGTACGGTAAAGTTTCAAGATGGAACAATATTGTACTTAGTTGTATTGAGTAAAGAGTTATTCCAAAAATAGGAAACCCATCGTTATGCAAAAACTACTGAGTTATCTGCACATAACTAGTTATTTTTGTATTCCAGCGTTCCAGCGTCCGACGTGAATGTACAAGTTAAGGTATACTCAAAGAAGAGCAATCGGGGTTTAGTCCTCAACGACAAATACAGAATGAATCTTAGTATCCAAGAAATATTTGTATATCTAAAGGATGAAGCGTAAATTTGAGTTTTAAAGAACTGAAAGCGACCATCTACGAGATGCAATGCAATCAGTTATGGGATACTATTCAACAGAATAATGCCAGTATAGGAAAGTCTTTTAGATCCATAAAAATTATTAAGATCATGATGGTAATTTGGACGTAATAACAGCAAGTAAAAGGAGTATACAGGTGAAAAGATATCAAAAAATATTCAGCTTCAAATAGAATACAAATAGAGGACTTATTAAATCCTTTATTTTTCGTAACTTTAATGGACATTGAAACATGTATATTGTTAAGCTCTTATACATGGATGCATGAGGTTGGATGCTTAAGGTTAAATGACGATTACGGCTGAAGGAAAAAAGTTAATATACGTGGTAAAATCTGGGCATCAAATCAAATCTTTTATCATATTCTTCAAATCTTTTACATATTGGTTAAACCATAGCAAATTAAAATATACAATTATATTGATACCACTCTATGTAACCGAGACGCAAAAGTAATGAGCGTGCACCGGTAATTGAATGATACATTTGCTGGAAAATTAGATATAGACAAGAACACTGAGCTTCAAATCCACAAAACAGTCATGAAACCAATTTTACTGTATAGTCAGAAAGAACTAGTTCCACAAGGACAAAAACTTAAAAAAATGATAACTGTATGAAATGATCATATAAGAAGCGAACTATAGCAATATATGATATGCAAAGTTAGCCTGAAGCGAAGACTCCTGTTGAGCCTCCAAGTCTAATATTTGATGATTAACTTTTTGATAATATAAGAGAAATGGAAAGTATGAAATAGATTACGCGAGACTCATTCTACTCTGCAATACAAGTATTATACTACGATAATTATACTACTGGCATAGAGAGATTTTCCTTTTTTCGTCTTTTCTTTAAGGCAAT